AGAGACAAATTCAGACAAGCTTTGGAAGATCTTAGGAAACAAAGGCTAAATGAGTTTATGGCAGGATTTAATGTAATAACAAATAAACTGAAGGAAAACTACCAGATGCTTACTTTGGGAGGGGATGCTGAACTGGAACTCGTGGACAGTCTGGATCCCTTCTCTGAGGGAGTCATGTTTAGGTTTGTCACACTACTTTGTGTTACTGCTGTAATTGTTAATTCTTGTGTTCCTTTTTTCAGCCTGCTTTTTAAAAAAAAATATTACTGCTTCAGCAGCTAACCAAGACACTCCTCCCTCTTGGCAAGTATTGGCAAGATACTGACAGAAGCCACAACTTTTTAGCATTGAGATTCATTTCTCCTGGAGAAAGAAGTAACTAACAGCAGTTAGAAAGCTTTGACTTTGAAGTAATTTCTCAGGGTTTCATTTCATTCTGCCTAGGGAATTGTGTCAGACTGCTAACTGGAGACGGTTCTGTCTAAAAGCTCCTGAGAGGATATTCATTACTTAAGAGTGGAATAGATAATTAAATAGCAGTTCTGAAGTGTTACAGTTCCTACGGAGAACAGATGAGTATTCCTGTAGTTTGAGTTCAGACATCAGCTGGCTACAAAGCTGTGTGTCACCCAGGGAATTCCTCCTCGGTGACCAGAAATAATCCATCTCACTACCTCGCAGATGTGGAGGGCTGAAAGTATCCAGTGGCTCACCCATGGTTTTAAGTCGAGCTTCTTTGTGTCTGTGTCTTCTAAGAATTTCCTTCCTGTCTTGTGACTTGCTTTTCACCACAACATATTTAAATAGCGAACAGAAAGAAGTTACCAACTCCTTAATTCGTTTCAGCGTTCGGCCTCCAAAGAAAAGTTGGAAGAAGATATATAACTTATCAGGAGGAGAGAAGACTCTTAGTTCGCTGGCTCTTGTTTTTGCTCTTCATCATTACAAGCCAACACCACTTTATTTTATGGATGAGATCGATGCAGCACTTGACTTCAAAAACGTATCTATTGTAGCCTTTTACATATATGTAAGTATTCAATGGTAACTACTATAGTATATTTTTTCTAAGATATTTTCTTCTCTGCCAGGAAAGGCAAAGTGGTAACGCAGTTATGGCCAGGTTTTAAAATCTGCAGTGATAAAATGGAAACTATGTACTAAGCAGATTTCCAGAAAGGTGCTTAGAACGTTGCTTTCTGTGTGGTTTTTTTTTTCCTAAGCTGCTTCAGCTTTCCTGAAATGAGGCAACTAAGAGAGGATTTACAAGTTTTTTCCCTCCAAATCCTGTTTCAAAAGCTGTCTCAGGAGTGCTAGAGTTTGCCAAAGGTGCCACATTTCCACGTATCCTTGCTGCTACTGCTTCCTCTTTAAAATATACTTTCCCCAAAATAATCAGCTGTAGTCAGCTGAGAAGACAGTAACTTAGTTAGCCCTTAGTAATGTGTTCGTGTATCCAAGCTCATTATTTCATTCTCGGGAGCAGCCAAGGTTCCTTGGTTTTATACTTCCATTTCATCAACATGAGCCGTTTCCCATCGGCTTCTCTGCTCTGTGTCTTTATTAGTGGGTTTTTTCTTTCATGTCTTTAAAAAAATCTGTTGTCACCATATTTTAAGTCAAGCAAACATTTACATTGCTACAGTTCTGGTTGCTAATCTAAACTTGGAATTTTCAGAATTATCCAAAATGTAACCACCAGTTTTGGGAACACCCTAGAAACGCCAAAGATTATGATTAGCTACTTTAAAATTAGGGAAGCACTTTGAAGATACCTGCCTGGAACTGTAGTTTTAAACCTGTGTTTTCACAAAGGAGGGTCCATCACCCAGGTGTGATTTGAAGCAGAGTTTAATTTCAACTGCAGTGGAGACGCACACTTAAATGTAAAACTTTGTGTAGCTTAGCTCTTAAATGCAAATTGTAGCTGTGGCTCGTATTTTGTGTACAGCTTCTGAATTAGTATCCCAGGAGAAAAGGTTGTAATTGATATTTGGGCCATTTTGGTTGCATCTAGCCTGAAGCTTTCTAACCTCAGGAACTGTGTGTGAGGGTACAAGGTGTGTCTGCTGTGTGTGCTGTTCCCTCCGAGGGATGACAGCCCCTAAACGTGGGGGCCTGCCTGTGCAACCCCCCCACCTCGCCACCTGGTCCTGCCCTCCTGTGGCTCCCCCCTGGGGCTCTGCCCACTCCCTGGAGAAATTCTGCTTTTTCTTTTTGGGTAGTTAAGAAACTGCTCCCTCCTTCCCCCCTTCCTCCCTCTCCCCTCCTTCTGCCCTCCCTTCCTTTCTCCCTCCCGCCTTCCCCTCCCTCCCCATATCCTGACCCAGCCCAGGGCCCTGGTACACTCACCCCACTGCTGGGTTCTTGCCCAAGGGTTCAGTTGCTCTCTAAAGCAGCAGCGGTGCCTCTGACTAGGCTGGGATCAACTGGCCTTCTGCCTCGGGGGCCCAGAACTTGAGTTCATCAAGGCTCATCCTCATTAGCAAAGGGCGTCCTTTCCCTGTTGGCAGGGCATGGGAAGAGCTTCGCTTTCCATTTCAGTCTTAGAGCAACTCTTGCCGTAACAGTTCAGGGGACTTAATAACACCCTCCTTGGGGAAACCTTGCAAAATTCACTTAAAACTGGTGAACTGCACCTCTGGAAAGAAATGACACAGGGTTCATTGGATTGACTCAGAGGGTGGTGTGAAGGGTAAAAGGAAGAGGGGATTGTTGCTTAGGGGAACGCAGTGCTGCATGGGTGGGCGATGGCAGAATGAGCCTGATGGCAGAAAGAACCCTCATTTATTCCTTAGTTTATTCCTGAGTATAGAGGTCAGAGCGTTTGGCAATGCTGTGGGCTAACAGGAGTAACTTCTCTTGCAGGAGCAAACGAAAAACGCACAATTTATCATCATCTCCCTGAGAAACAACATGTTTGAGATCGCAGACAGATTAATTGGGATTTATAAGACTCACAATACCACGAAAAGTGTGGCAACCAACCCCAAAGTTATTGCTTCAAAAGGACTGGCTGAACTCAACACTCTTGAGTGTCATATAGGTGAAAAATAAGAATGGAGGAAATGTCCGTTCTCATTGCTGCTCTTTAAGATATGTCTGTATTTGAGATACTTTTTTTCTTTTAATTTTGCGTGTTTTTTGAGCTCTTAATAAAACCAGCCTCAATAAATTCCATTTTTTAAACTTATACAGTCTAGAGAAAAATATAAACTGAGAAAAAAAAAAAAAGGCTATTTTTCAAATTTTGTATCTAGCTGAATTTTAATATTCCAGGGGTCAGTTCTATGTCAATGCTTGGGTTCTGCATTTGGTTCTAAATGTCTGGGTTTTTAAAGTATGCAAACTGCTTTTAAATGTGCGTTCTGTGACGTTTTATTCTACAAGTTTCAGTTAGCAAAGCCAATACACAAAATACTTTGATGTGTGTATTCTGAGGCTGTGGTATGTAACACGCAGGGTCAGGGAATTGGCCGGTTGTAGCCATTTTGTCATGAGTTGGTTGGGTTTTCTCTCCCCTCCTGCAGGGACAACTCCTCCCTCCCTCCTGCTCCATGTTCATTAATGCACTAATTAGTGTCTGCTGGATTCTACATTCACAATGAGCCATCTCCTTTCTCCTGAAGAGGTGGGGTTGGGTCAGGCTGTGCCCTATGCCTTTTGCACTTTGCTTCCATCAGCACCTTGTCAACACTTCAATGTACAAGGTTTTTGTTTGGAATTTTTTTTTTTTTTTTTTTTGTACTTAACTGAAATTGTGTTTTATTCCCAACAGTAGGCCTGATCCTGGAACTGCTGTGTCAGGGCTGTGCCATTGTTCCAACAGGCACCTCTGGGGGTCCAAGAGCTGTTGGGGAACAGCCCTGGGCCTGTTGCCCTGCCCAGCTGTGGCTTGTCCTGCAGTTGTGGCTCAGCCCCTGAGAGGGACAATTGCCACAGGGAGAGGAGCCAGAAAACCAGGTGTTACAAAGCAGAGCAAAATGCTTTGGCTGTGAAATTAAATATTCAGATTGTATTGAATCTGGAGGGGTGAAAATGAATCTACATGGAATAGTGATGAATGACTCTCAGGAGGAGCTCACGGTGTTCCATCGGGGCAGGTTTTTGGAACCACAGCTCAGCAACAGTCATGAGATGAGAAAAACTGAACTGCAACCCCCCCTCGCTGCCCCACCAGAGCCCTGGGAGTGGTTTTACTTTTCCCACCTCAAGATGAAGCTGGGAAATCTTACAGTACAGCATAATGGAGCGGTCAGGGGCACACAAGCCCCAGCTGTAACTCCAAGCTTGTGCTAAGCCAGGCCTTAGCTATTTGGGCAGGATGAGCCCCTGGATAATGAGCTGGGGACAAGGTATTGTCACCTGCAAGAAACATCCTGACAGTGCAAGGTTACTCTGATAATTAGTCTCATTACGTGTCAGAGGCCACCCCAGTGCCTCAGCACCCTGTGCTGCTCCCAGGGGGCTGCCTTGACACTGGGGAACTTAAATCTCCTCCCCAGGGGGGGCTTAACACTTTGTTTTTCAACCTGAATTCCCCTATTAAAAAATATATATAAGAATTTCACTTCTTATCAACTATCCTCTTCTGAAACCTCATTTTAGAACACACACCCCCCCCTGGTTTAGGTTTGACAGGGTACAAACCCCTCTCCACACCTCAATTAAAACACGGTAAAAAGATTTTATTTTCTGGAAAACGCTTCCATCTCTGTTACATGAATTTTCCATCTCTTATAACACTTGCACCCAGCAGAGACAGGCAAGAGCAAGGCTGGAGGAGCCAGTGCTAGGCTAAGAGGAAAATAAGGAAGCTCCCAAAACTCCTACCAACCCACCTCCTGCCAGGCCACGGCAGAGGATCTTCCTACAGGTCACACTGCAAAAAAAACAGGGCTGCAGCAGTGAGCCAGAGCACTGGACAGCCCCAGGCCTGCAGCTCCTGCTCCTCTCACCACCTCAGCACAGCACAAACACTAAGGTGTCAGCCAAGCCTGCTGTAAGAATATATTTTATTCAATATGCAAGTTTATTAAAATACATAATGCATTAGAAGTACGAGTACTAAAGGTTTCAGTTGGTGGTAAAGGCATTTTATAAATTCCTGTAGTCTTGAAAAATAAAATTGCGTTATAAACTCTAAGTTAAAAGTCAGGAAAACAAAAGACAGGAAAGTCAAAGAAGCCTCGCAGGGTAGTGGACACTTAGCACCAGGTTTTGAGACTTGGGTGCCAAGTGACCGCCTTTGAATAGGGCTGAAGATAAAAATTCCCACCTTTATCAGGCAATTAATATGACAGCATTTATGCAGTCCCAGGATGCATTTAAACACCATTTCAAACCCTGACCGGCTGTATTTGTGGGATTTGCCTTTCCAACTCTAAAAATCCACAGAAAGCATCTGTACAAATTCCAGAAGTGCTCCTGCCACAGAGGTCAAAGGCTCCCGAGTGGCAGGGAGGGGCCTGCACAGTCCAGGAAGGAGCCAGTTGTAGCTGTTTGGTAATTAATTGATTAATTTGAGGAAGCTGCTCTTCAGTGTTTTATCAACAGAGCAATATTTGATACCGAAATTGTTAATCGGGACCTTTCTTCAGGCTTGAGGACCGGAGCTGCGTCATCCCTGAGCACTGGCCTTGTGCTCTGCTCCCCTGAAGCCTGGTGGCCGCTAGCCTGCTGGACCCCAGTAGCCTCTGCTGGTAGCAACAGGCAAGTCTGGTTTTGCACAAGGGTTTAAAATGCCAAGCAGTTAAAGACTGCCTTAATTATTCAAAATTCAATCACTATTTAAACTTCTATTATTTAAAACCACACAACAGCCAAGCAGTGCTGCCAGGCTAGAACAGACTTACTGTTTTTATCAAGTAAAATCTAACTGGACACAGTGAACACGCCTTTTCAGCTTCTTGGTGACTTGCAGGCTCACCTGCACTCTGCTGTTGTAGCCACAACACCCCACAGCTTGCTGGAAATCAGCCTGTTAACAGCCAAAGGCCAAAACGAGCTTTCACAAGGGTTCACTCCTGAAAAGTTAAAATTTACAAGATTGAGAATTGAAATAAATTGTAAAGAGAAATTCACATTTATTGCCAAGTTGTTTTAAGAGCTCTTGACAACACCTGAAATCCTCACACTGCTGACTTGAGTGGGAGTTTTGCTACTGCCTAGAGTTCTGTCTTATTTTCACTGTGTATGAAATTATTTTAGTGAAGTCGGGGCTGGTTTTAGTAAGCAGGGAGAGCTACTTGCCAGACTAAACACCTGATCTGTGTGCAGCTGGCACTAAAAAAAAACCTGTATGTGGTATTTTCCCAGGAGCCCTGCAGATACTGCTCCAAGAAGGGGGCAAAACCATGTGAAAAGTTGTTAAACAAAGTTGTTAAACGCAATGTTGTTAAACAGAGGTTTAAAAAAAAAAAAATCCTGTCATCCACTAATAACCAGGAACAAAGCAAATGAAACAGGGCTATGATTACAGGCTTTAAAAAGCACGGGTCTATCAATTAAAATACAGAGAGGCCAGTAAAACCCAAAATAGGAGGTTTCCATATGGCAAAGCTAGTGACAAACCCATCTAGGACCAGCTGCTCTGCAGGCTGAGGTGTTCCGATGTTGTAGTGCTTTTATTAAATTAACAATTTAAAATTCTGTTACCAAAATTAAAAAAATAGATGTTGAAGGAGTTTTTACAAAGGGGACTCCAGATTACAGGCTGCGAGCTGATTACAGCTGTCTGGGGCAGACGATGTTTCTGACCAGCTTCCACTTTAAGCAAACACCAACCTACCGTACTGCAGGAGCCTTTCCTGCTGCAGATCTCCTCAGTTAACTAAGAGTTAGCTAAGAGGAAATCTAGACAACAGAAAAAGGAAGGATTTGGAAATAGGAAAAGTGTAGACCTTTAACAATGCAGCTTTTAGAAATTAAAAAAAAAATAAATCCTGTGGATTACTACACTGACCTTTAATCTGATTACTAAAATAGTCAAAGAGAGACAATTCTGCCTAAAAGCTCTGTCAGTAAGTTAAACGTATGGCACAGCACATCCGCTAAATTCTGCAACTGGGTGTGGAAATCTTCATAAAACAGCAGCAAGGATTCTGAGATACAAGCAGGAGTAGCTTCGATTACAGCTGATGGTAACAGCTTGTGAAATGAAAGCAGAGCTACTGCTGCGACTGTAAGCAGCAGCAGGACTGCTGCAGGATGTACAGCCTGGAGGAGTTCTGTAGATTCTCTTCCTCCCTTTCCACTGCCCTGGCTGCATAACTTCCTTTTCGGAATCAGTTTTATTTTTGGAATGAGGACCTTGTTGATCTGACTGATTTCAGTTTTAGACCACACATCTTTCAGCAGGTGCCCAATCCTCGGATAAATCTCCACAGGTTTAACATCCGGTAGCTGCTTCTGCTTCAAAGCTTTTATACGTTGATGCATATCATCCACCTTCTCAAGAAAAATAAGCGGAGACTCTTCTTTCTGAATAGATGTGTTCAATGACATTAACTCAAGCTGTTCTTCCCGTATTTTTTTCAATTTCTCAATCTGAGGCTCATACTCCTCTGAAATTCGGGTGTTAATTTCATCCAGGGCAGTCAGCAGAGCTTGTTTTTTCCGCTCCAAGGTATCACTAAGTTTCTTAAAATACTGGAGTACTACTTTTTTATCATCCTGAACAACGCCTTCACACTGGGACTTCTGTTCTTTCAGCTTTTCAATAAGCAAGCACACATCAGTCCAGTGTTTATCGGTTAGCTGCTCGAGAAGTTTTCCAGAAGTCTCCTTTTCTTTTAAGTAGGCGCTCTGAAGGTCGCCTATGGGATGACCGTTGTGTTTTCCTATTGTGAGGCAGTGCCCACACACCAATTTTCTATCCAAAAGACAGTAAACGTTCAGCGGTTGCCTGTAGTGTTCGCTGCAGGTAGCGACATCGGAGTGATCTTCCTGTTGGTATTTTTCAATAATCGCTTTCAATGCAAAGTTGATGGGCAAGGATTCTGTCCCAGCAGCGGGAATTTCAACAACAGTGCGACAGTTGGGACACTTCAGAGGAACTCTCAGGGGTCTCCAAATGGAAAAGTTGCTGGACAGCTGAATAACACCTTCCAGACAATTCCTACAGAACGTATGGGAACAGGGCAGGACTCGTGGATCTTCAAATATGCTGTAGCAAATGGAACACGTTAATTCCTCCTCAAAGTGATGCATGTCCTAAAAAGAAAAACAAAAAAGATAAAGCGGTTTAATCTCTTTTTTGGAACAAACTCATTTAAAATCATTTTATTAATCTAAGTGCCTTGACAGGATGTTTTAATAACCACTAACCCAACCTCCACCCCGCAATCTGTTGCGGGAAAAAAAAAAAAAAAAAAAAAAAAAGATGGAAGTGAGCAACAGTTCAAAGATTTCAGCAAATTATGATCTAAGTGACTAGTTAGTGTTCACCCATATCCAACTTCTGCCTTAAAAAGCTAGGAAAAGCAGTAATCTGCTACTAGATATTTTTTTTTTTTACAGTGGGACACAGTAGAAGACTGATAAAAGTTAGAACTAATGTTTCTAAACAACAATTACAAACATTTTCTCACACTATTAGTAACATTTTCAACATAAGAATGGAACAGTAAGTACAGAAACTTTTTTCTCCCCTTTTTAAAACTTACTTTTGTAATATAAACAGTCACTAGAGTATTAAGCAGTCAAATTAACAAAAAGCTACCCCTGGGTTCTGGCACAAACGAGAGTCACTCTGTGGTTCTTAAATACCAGTAACTGGACTCGTGGTCCTACTCCTGGGTCACTTTAAGCACAAAACTAAAAAACTAACTTTCGCTTTCCACCCTTGGTAACATTGCTGTGTTCTTCTTTGTGAGCTTAGCAAAATCACACTGTAAAGTCACAAATAACAATAATGTCAGTTTTCATACTAACTCATAATTCTGGTTTTCATTCTGCTAAAAATGGGGAAATTAATACGGACTCTCCTTTGTGTCATATTTTCCTGTCCCCTTCATCAGTGCTACTAGGCTAGGCTTTGCTACACTGCAAAAATAAATTCTCCAGACACGCAGTATCAAAGACTTTCAATTGAGTGTTTAAATCTAAATCTGAAAACAGTAACATGCAGCTGGGCTACTGGGCCTTTGGTTCAGTCAGGAAACTAAGAGAAGTATTTAAGGAGGTTATTTTATTCAGCTCTGCCCTCTTAATCTTTTTAACACAGTAACATATTTTTATAACAATCAACAGTTTTCACTGACAATAAGATTAACAAAGATTAATTTTAAGTGAAGCTACTTAAAAGGAACTGAATTGTTAATTGTGCTCTTCAAAAAATGAAAAGCACTAAATGGTTAAATGAAAACCACTAAGGATTAAATTTGTCACTAACTAATAAACAGTTCACCATTTAAGCAGCATTGTTCCTGAAAAAAGCACAGAGCTCACCTGATGGAAGCCAGAAGCTGAATACTCAGGTTCTTTGAGAGTTAAATCAGCTCTGAACAGAGAAACCTTGTACAGAAATAAGCCTGGCTTATCTAGCTTTATTGAGATAGGCTAGTACACCCCAAAGTGAAAGCGTTCAACTCTGCAAGTCTGATCAGACTCTTTGGCCTTGTAAAACCAGACTGAAAAATAATAATAAAAAATCTAACGGCCATCATCACCCAAAGCATCCAGTTCAATTCAAGTTATTTGTATGTTGTTGAATAAGTCAACTTTATATTGAAAACACATATTAATTCAGCTTTAAAAAAAAAAAAATTAAAAAAAATCCAACACACTTCAGGTCATTTTTTTCAGCTAATTAATATAAAATGATGGTTCACTTATTTTGAACTCCACTTTTAAAGAGACACCTTGACAACAGTTGGAAGAAATCTACCAAAGAAGAGAGACATAATTCCATCCTTTAAGAAGGACAGAGTGTTAGCAGTTATAACTAGCCTATCCTCCTGGTGTTAAAGAGAATTAGTATCAAGTACTAGGGACATTTAGCAGAAGCCACAACACTTTGACACTACACCTACTTCTGTCCTGCACTGCTCTTACTACAGCCCATGACATATTTCTCTTTTTACTGGGGAGCCACAGACCTTTATATTCCAGTTTTTCCAGTCAGCCTCTGTGGCAACACTGGGTTCTTTAGGTCTGTATGTTCATAATTTCACATTTTTAAGTGATGTTCCAGACACTGAAAGAAATGTGTCAATAATGAGGGGAAGCTGAACAACAAATCTACACCACTGTCTAGATAAATTATTTTTTGAGAATTAATTCCCATAGGAAACACATTTAAAGATTTGGGGTTTTTTAAAGTTATTATGAATCTAGAATGTCACTGCTATTTAAAAGAAAAAAAAATCAGTTAAGCTTTAGCTCATGGTTAGAAAAGAATCCTTCATAGGTACTCTCATTTTCTTTTATATACATAGAATCAATATAGTTTTTTTAAATCTCTATGTTTAAAATTGCTATTTTTTGCTAAATCTAGGGCTGTTTTTTTCTTCAAAGGAGCTTTTAAAGGAGGGAGATATTCCTTATGAAGAACACACGTCTAGCTTAATTAAGCTACGAAAAGGGCAAAAGAGAATCTTCAAAAAACTTTCAACTGCAAAGTAGTTGCTTGCTACCCTAAAAATAAAGGAACAACTTTACAAAATTTTTTCTTAGCCCTATTGCAAATCACCTTCGACTCTGCAGGAGTGTGTCCACCCCCAGCACAGCCAGGCCCCTTGCCACAAGCCGGCGACCAGCCAGGCAGCCTGGAGGCCTGCGCTCCCCTCAGGGCCGTTTCATAACCCTCGCAGCCGCTAGCCAGAGGGACTGAAATTCCCATTTCCACAGAAACATACCGCTCTGTTTCCCAGGCAACTGAGGAGAATTAAGGACTGACAGCAGTTGCTTGCAGGGAGCAGCTCTGGAAATCCAGGCCAGCAGGGCCCAAGGGTGCATGGGGCACCCTGCTCCAGGCCCCCAGAAGAACTGGCAATTGATTTTTTTAGTTATTATTCGTCCATTTCAAAACATTATTTGGAATGTTAATGTACATGTTTGCTATAGGCACCCTGTGGGGTTTTTTTAATTTCTTCTAGACAAGTACTCCAGAGTCGCACCAGGGAAGGAAAAGGTGGAAATCCTCAAATTTACTTTCATCCTGCACTGGGCAGCAGCACGTGAACAGTGGAAATAAATCAGCAGCTGGCTATCAGAAACAGAGAGACTGAGAATACCAGGGAGAAAAGGCAGAGAAGACCCAACATCACAGAGTTAAGCAAAGAAAAGTTTTCCAGGAAAAAAAAAATAGCAAAAAGCTGGTGAATGCTTTCCTGCCCAGAGCAGATACTTTTCCTTAAATGTTCCAAACAACTGTGGTAGCAAATACGTGTGTGTATATGCATATTTATCACAAGAGTCACCCAGTATAAGCAATAACAAACTAGAAGGTATTTGAAAAATGCAAAAGTGTAATTGTGCCAGTAATTCGGTGAGTTTCAGAAACCTTCCAGCAGTGGAGGCCTACTAAGTGACTCTGATTTTATCCTGTTTTAATTAACGATGCTGTAGACGAGGTGCAAACGTGTAAGACTGCATACCTGTATTACAGTTCATCGGGCAAAGCCTTCAGTTAAGCAGATCAAAGTAATGTAGCTGCCATCAGGCCACTGCTCATCCAGCAAATTATGTCAAACGTTCTTTAGAAACAATTACACCTGGAATACAGCATGCCTCTGACCGAGGCTTTACAGCAAAAGCCCTACACCCCATTCCACTCTGAAGGAATTTAAAAGGTGAATTTGGCATTGGGTAACAATTGTGACAGCCTGTCCCAGGGGGTGGAGGGGCACTGAAGGCAGAGCCTCTCCTGGAGCCTCCTCCCGGCTGCTGTCAGGGAAGGAAACAGTTGCTCTCTCCTGAAGGACATGGTTAACACTCAACACCGTACTGTGCTTCAACTAAATCCACCTCAGAAATGCTGCCTCCCCATCCCACAGAGGTCCCTGAAGTCCTCCTGGAGTGCAAGCAGAGAAACTTCAAGTTTATACTGTGCAAAAATAAGCGATAAAGTGATATTATAGGCAATGTTTTCCATTTATAGGTCACCCTCGTGATAAAGGGTGACAGAACTGTAAAAAACAACAGAAGGCCAAGGTGCAGCTGCAATGTTTGTTGGTGGATCACAAGAGATGGAGCCCGCTACGCAGCTGTTGTAACAACAGGCGGGCACCAGAGATCAGAAACAACAGCTAGACCTTAAACCTTCCCATGCCAGCCCATTTCAGCTGTACTGCTTTACCCCACGCCCAAGTCGTGGCAGGTGTCAACCAGGGATGTTCTGCCCCCAGTCCCTGTTCCTACCGCTGCTCCTACACCGCTACCTCAGGTTTTTACACTGTTTATGACCCAAAAGGAGATGAACCCAGCAGAGGAGCCTTGTCTAGTTTCCCCACCGAGCTGACCTGGCAGTTCCCGTCTGTGTACCCCTCCACTGGCTCCTTGCCTGCTACTACAACGGAAAGTTACCACAGTCAAAACACCCCAACACGCTACTCCCTCCTCTCCAAACTCGTGTTTTGTTGCCAAGACTCACTCTCCAACCCTTATCTCTTGAACTCTGTCAAAGCGTCTAGCCTTGAGCGTTCATTCATCATTTGCCTCAGGATTTGGGAGGGAGGAAGAAGAGGACCCCTTTCCCTGCCACCTGCAGACCCTCTGCCAGCTCCCACACCCCGTAACGACGGGATCCGTGCCTGCGTTACTAACTAGAAAAAGGGATCGACACCGAGCACCAGAAACTTGTTACGGTAACAAAAAGAGAAAAGCGCTTCAGGAGGCGGTGGGTTTGCGCCCGCGATGTCCCCAGGCTGTCTCTTATACA